CTGTCGCTTAGTACAACAAATTGTTAGGGAATAAGGGTTTAATAATAACAATTTTATAACAACAGGTTTATAAAAACAAAAGCAAAAAACACGTATAAGTGTGTTAGAATTCATATTATTGGATGAAATGGTTATATTTAAATGTTTGTTCATTTGTATTTCTGATTTTCAAATTGATAAAAAATACCTTTTTTGAAATAAAATCAAATTTGTTTTTCCATTGTACGGGTAAAAACGACTTTTATTAAAAACGATTTAAAACAAATTCAAACTTTCTTCAATAATTTTACAAAAATTACTTATGAGAAGTGCAGCTGTGACTTTCACCAGAAACTGGAAGGAGAGGAAACGCCTACTAATGATACTAAAATCACTTATAAACTAACAGTGCAGCTGGGCCCGGCATTGCCAGGTGTTTAAGACACTCGACTCGCAATCTCAGGGTCGTGAATCCCTGTCACACCAAACATGCTCGCCCTTTCAGCCGTGGGGGCGTTATAATGTGACGGTCAATCCCACTAGGCGTTCGTAAAAGAGTAGCCCAAGAGTTGGCGGTGGGTGGTGATGACTAGCTGCCTTCCCTCTAGTCTTACACTGCTAAATTAGGGACGGCTAGCGCAGATAGCCCTCGTGTAGCTTTGCGCGAAATTCAAAACAAACAAACAGTGCAGCTGTGCCTTTCACAGTGGAAGGAGAGGAAACGCCTACTGAGGATACTATTTGTTTTTTATGAATATATTTGTAAAAAAATGAGACTTTTAGAAAAAAAAACTTTAAAGCTATGGTAGCAATATATTTAGTTAGCGACGTTTTGATAGAGAACAAACAATGATCGGCGATCACTGATTCCAGGATCTAGATTTATTCCATAAGGTTGAACAGTATTTAGATTAGCAATCCAACAAGTTTCTTTGATTTATCTATCAGCTTTAGCTTTAAAGTCGGTTTCATTGTCGATGAGAGTAACATCGTTAATAGAATGAACGGATTGATTGAAGTGTTGAGCAACAGGGAGATCTTTTTCGGGGTTAATAAAAGACCGGCTTGAAAAAGACCGTTTGCTCGAAACGTCGCCAGGTAAATAAATTAATAGCATAAGTTTTAAAGGTGATTTTTCTCTTAAAGTCTAATTTCTTTATTTTATCACCTATACACATTTTTCTACTTATATATTTGTAAATATACGCTTGTATACGTTCAATACTAATATACAAGTAGTCTTTTACAATTTCAAAAAAAAAATATTTACTCATTTGACTCTCAATCCGAAAGTCAGTCCTAAAATTATTGTAAATACACACCGTACAGTGAGAAGTGTATTCGTATAAGCGGCTTATATTCCCGTTTCGTCTTAGTAACATGATCGTAAATCTACAATCAGATGATTGGGAGTTTTGAGACCCTTACAGAGTGGTAATTCGTACCAGACAAGAGCATATGCTTTTATTAAGAGTCTGGTTGTTGCTCGCTGGTAGTTTTCAGTTCACAAACTGCATATTGTTGCATGGTGCTCGGGCATGTTTATAGACCACTCTTCACAACATCCAATCCGTTTTGCTTATGTTTGATTGATACTAAATTTAACCTTGGAAGAATACTTTTTCTTTTGATGAAAACGGACACTATTTGAAAGGGCTCTAGTTTGGAAGACAGTTATAGTTTCTTACCGATCTAAGTTTTCGTGCCTATCATAGCAAGAGTGTCGTTTTGAGACCGCTATTAAGTTAAAGTTACTTTTTACTATTAATGAAGTGTAATCTTGTACAATGAAACTGATGTTTGAAACACTATAAAGTAGTGATCTTTATAAGAGTATAAATACGATTTCGATGGATCAAAAGTCACAATCTTTGAGCCTAACTCAAGCCTCTTCACAGATCTTGGTCGATTTTGAAGAGCAATTTTAAATATCATTGTCGAAAACCGATTTACAAGTACAAAGAAAAATATGTTAACATATCCATTATTGTTCAATGTACCTGTTTCTTACTTAGCTTGTACCGGCTATTCACGTACACAAGGGTATCTGCGCTGACCGGTACTAATTTTAAACTGATAGCCTAGAGCAGTGGTTCTCAAACAGTGCGCCCGGGCGCATTGGTGCGCCCCAGAGCTTTTTCAGGTGCGCTCCGTAGCATTCCTGAAAAATCTATCCAGATATGAAAAGCAAATGTATACTAAGTTACTAAATTACACCATTTCTTTACGAACACTCTGCTTGTTTCGTTGCGATATTATTATGATAGTTATAAGTTACTTTTCTTGCAACTAGCTTCTGGTCCGCAAGTTTTGCACGCGTTTAAAACACGTAACAAACGTGGCTGGAACGGCATGTTAACACCGGCACTAGCTTTCATCACGTGGCAACTGGCAGTGTTGCATAACAGGCGTTGGTGAGTGGGCATGTCAAGGTATCTTGCTTATTTTCAGAGCTGCTTCATTTCCTAACATCGTACTGACAATCTTTTGGCAAGCAGGCAAAATAAGTGACTCACCCAAAGTATGAGCTTTCATATTTTGTGCGATCAGTTCTGAGACTTGGTAAGAAGCAATTTGAGCTTTATCAGAAACAGTCATTAAACTTTTAAAAGAATCAGCTGCTTTTCCTTGCTGTTCGGACATTCTCTTAAAATAACTTGTGGGTTTGTCTTGTAAATGAGAGTGTTTACTTTTAAAATGTTTACCAAGTTTACTAGGGAGCATTGATTCATTTGACATTTTTATTCCACAAACTAAACATACTGGCTGCGGATTATCAACATTTCCAAAGCTTAAATAACTCTCATCGTATTACGAGTCGGTCGCGGTTTTGCTTTCTTACTAGAACAACTTTCCACATTTGAGGTTTGCTCACTTTCAGGATTACATTCATCAATGTCACGCTTCTTTTTAAGAAACTTATCCATTTTTATGGGTGAATTATTCTTAACAAAGACAATTATATCAACGGTAATTATTCTGAAACTTGTAAAAGGCACAATACGTTTACTCTTGACGGCAGTTCACAAGACATTAACAGTATCATTGGACAGAAAATACGCCTGAGAAGACATTTCCGATATTGAGAAAAATGTATGTGGTAATAAATCAGAACACTGGAGGCACTGCAAGTTGACGAGTCAACCGACATTACCAACAAGGCGCAACTCGTAGCATTCATTCGTTTCATTAACGAAAATCAAATAACAAATCAGTTTCTTTTTTGCAAAGAATTAAGTCTGACTACAAAAAGTGAGGACGTTTTTAACATCCTGAATAACTACCTTGATAAATGGCAGTTATCGTGGAAATCATGTGTAGGCATTTGCACAGATGGAGCTCCTTCTATGATAGGCTGCAACAAGGATCTTGTATCTTTTATAAAGGAACAAAACGAGAATGTTATTGTAACTCATTGCTTCCTTCATAGAGAGGCCTTGATGTCAAGAACATTAGGAGAGGATTTAAGAGAGGTCTTAGATCAAGTTGTTCAAATGGTGAACTTTATTAAAACAAGACCAGTTAAATCATGCCTATTTGAACAGATTTGCACCAATATGGAGTCTCAACACAGACTGCTACTTTTACACACCGATGTGAGGTGGCTGTCAAGAGGCAAAGTACTTACCCGTGTACACGAGTTATGACAAGAACTTATCACATTTTTTGAAGCAATGAAACAATCTCATTTTTGTAACCTCCTTCAATGTGAATTTTGGATTACAAAGTTACAATATTTGGCATCTATTTTTCAGCATCTCAATATTTTGAACTCTAGCATGCAAGGGAAAGAGGAAAATATCCTCACATCCACTGACAAAATAAAAGCGTTTCAGAGAAAGCTACAGATTTGGAAAAGAACAGCGACGGAAGGCAGTTTCGAAATGTTTCCATTGGTAAGTAATAATTGCAAAACTGAAATTCTGCCAATGATAGTTGAACATTTATCAACTTTAGAAGAAAATTTGAGTTATTATTTTCGATCAATTAACACTGCGCAATATGACTGGATTAGAAACCCTTTTGTAGAAAGTGCAATAGATTCTAGTTTAACGCTAACAGAAAAAGAAGAACTGGCAGCTGTGTCCACTGATCGTGGATTGATGATTAAATACAAAGAATTGTCTCTTGAAGCTTTTTGGATTTCTATCAAAGAACATGTGTCGATATCTAAAAAAGCGCTGGCCATTTTATTGCAATTTTCCACTTCATATTTATGTGAACTGGGATTTTCAACCCTCGCCACAATTAAGTGTAAAAAGAGAGGAACTCTTCAATGCATTGATGAGGAAATGAGAGTTTGTCTCTCAAACATAAGACCAAACATTGAAGAAATCACAAGGTCTCATCAAGCTCATGTTTTTCATTAACACAGGAATGAATAAACTTCACAGAGGTATGTTAAGTTTGCTTTTATTAAATGCGTTATTTTTCTATATATTTAACTTAATTATAACATATTAGTCCTATTTTGTATACAGTGCGCCAGCAAGTATCTGTAGTATTGTAAGTGCGCTCAGACTGTATAAAGTTTGAGAACCGCTGGTCTAGAGGAAGAAATATGAATTATATGGGTACTGAAAATGCTCTAAAGTGAGACAATATTTTGTATTTGCATTGAACTATTTGAAAATTGTGTTAATAAGTCCTGTTTTAACACTGATTGATTGGAATATATTTATCTCTGGGAAGCCACCAAGGGGCATCTGAGACCTCCATTTTTCAAAACTTTTCTAGGGGAAGGTCCCTAGACCGCCTAAGAGGGGGCACTCCTCCTCTTGACTCTCCCACAGCAGCATGTTGCACTGCCTGTGCAGTTCTGCTGCACCTTTTTCCTTTTTTTTTCTGTAATCCACTTTCATTCCTGATTTCATATTTTCAAATGTTGGCATGTCTGTAGCTCACACAATTCTTCTGGGATTTGAAAAACTTAAGATCATTTGCTTATTTAAATTATTATGGGTTTTATATTTTTAATCTCTAGAAGTAATATCATTTCTTTTTTTCGCTGTCTTTAATAGGTCTCACCCACTGACTATCATCGTTTTATTTATAAATGTCACACATGTTTGTTGGGTTTCAAACGACGAGGAATGTTGGTAAACCACTTGGCAAGACGACATCCAGATATCAGACCAGAGTCCGTTCCTGAACTAAACCTCCCAATTCTGAAGACAACTAGAGATTATTATTGTCAATACTGTGAAAAGATATACAAGTCTAGCTCCAAGAGAAAAGCTCACATTTTGAAAAACCATCCTGGAGCTGAATTACCCATGAGTAATAGGCAAAAGGTTAGTATGGTTAAGTGTGTTGATTATCTTCTATTTTCATAATATTTGGATTTAATATGAATAACTTTCTAACCTAGCCTAATTTGTATAGTGCACTGTTTTACATTACCACTTTTGCCTGCCATGTGTTTAGCAGTAGTACCTTCTTCAATAAATATGCAAAGTAATAAATTAGAAATATAGTTGGGGAATTTATAATCTTTATTTAAAGTTTTTAGTGATTTCCATCAAGAGTACTTCATTGTTTACTGTCAAATTGTATATTACACTTCCATTCCTGTCCACATGATGTTGTACTTCATTTATTAAAAGATCATTCAACATACATCTAGCTTCAAACACTGTGTGTCTTGTTTCATTTACCATGTATTGCATTGCTTTTGCTATATTTCATTTTCATTTCACTTTTCAGTGAATTTAACTCATTGTAGGCTTTGTTTTGCACATTTTTGAACTTGATTCATGTTAATTTGTTTCAACCTGCATTGAACTTCACTCAATATATGATCTAGTTCACTTACTATGTGTTCATGTTGTTCTTTTCTCTGTGTTAATTTAATTTCATAGTCCACCATTCATGCACTACAATTTCTGTAGTTCAACTCAATGTACATTAAACTTCACTCAGCATGTATTGTACTGTACTCATGAATTAAATTCATTTTATTCAATAAACTTCACTAATAATATATTGAATAGCAGGTACTGTATTTATTAGTAACATGTATATGTATTATAATTATCATCACATATATATTTAAATGCTAATCTTAAACAATCTGATAATCACCTACAGGTTACATTTAAACCATCGAACATTAACCTGTACATTGTTTCATTATAACTGATTATACAGACCTGTGAACTTAAACTTCATAAAATTTATTTTGGTTTTAATAACGGATTTTCTATAATTCAACTACTTGAAAATAATATTCAGTTTTTCTAGCACGTAAGGATTTTTTACAAATTGGGAAGAAAAAAAACTCTTACTTAAATCAAATTATTATCTCATTTGCCACAATGAACAACAATTTTTGTTAACAAAAATACAAGAAAAACTGAAGAAAAGGGAAGAACATTGATGTCAAACATATATGAATCCTCATTTTACCTGATTTTTTTGTGAAATCTACATCTTTTAGTCTCACAACTACGTGTTGTGGTCTTTCTTTTAAGTACTGCGTCTGGAGCAGTAGCAATCAGCCATCATGCTGATGTTATACCTTCCCTGATACCTACTCTTCATTTCCTTGATGTCTTGATGAAACCTTCCCCTTGTTCTTTACTGATGGCATCCAGATTTTCAGGAAAATAGTCAATATGTGAGTGTAAGAAATGAACTTTCAAGCTCATTTACAATCCAACTCTTTCAATTTATCAAGCATGTTATTGACAATATTTTTCTAATGTTGGTCCTTGTTATTTCCTAAAAATTTGTGAATAACATCTTTAAAGGCAGTCCACACTTCTTTTTCAACTTTTCTCATTGTCCTTTCAACCTGTTCATCCAAAGCTGATTTCCTAATCTGAGGCCCTACAAAAATCCCTTCTTTAATTTTTCTTCTGAAAGAGCTAGGAATTGCCCACATAAATACTTGAAACTGTCACCATATTTTTCTAAGGCCTTTACAAACTGCTTCATCAAGCCCAGTTTTATGTGAAGTGGAGGTAACGGGACTTTCTTTGTGTCAGTCAAACTTTCATGTTCCATGTTTATTAATCCTGCTATAATAATGGCTGGAGATGGCTTGAATGGGTAATGAAGAAAAACTTTAATATAAGTTTAACATAACAGCAAATGTACAATGTTTCGACAAGGTTTTTGATGATGACAAAGCCTTGTCGAAACGTTGTACATTTGCTGTTATGTCTCCAGCCATTATTAGTCTCAAAGTGGGTTCCTCGTCATCAAATTTGAATCCTGCTATGAGGCTGACTCTGTGTGGCCATTGCTGTGTTTCTTTACAACAAATTTACCACAATTATAACAGAATATGTTTGGGTCATTTACATAACCTCTTGTTGCCATAGTGATGAATAAATAATACTGAAAACAAATTGAGTGCACGCACAAACAAATACTATCCAGAAATAACACGTCATGTGACCTGTTAACCATTTACATACTAGTAGGGGTGTTTCTCATGGGTTTTAGAACAATCGATAAGACTCTCACTTCGGAAATGGTCTAGAGAAATCTATAGCCAGTGGTTGTCAACATTTTAAACATAACAAAATGTGACCCAGTTTCATTGTAAATGATTCATTTATGTAAAAGTACATCTGAATTTTATTTTTCTTAAATTTTTATGTTCAGTTTCTTGTAAGAAATTCATTACATGAGTTGGTCTTAAAAATGCTCTTTAGGATAAATAGACTACTCCAAGATATTGAAATTGCCACTTTGAAACCAGGTATAGGTTGTACATGTTTTGTAGCAGGGAGCAGCATCATGTTAGAATGTTTGCTAACAAGAAAACTCTCCCAAGATCTTTGAATATTAACATTTCAGAATTCTTGAAATTCATTAGCATTTACCATGTAAACACTGTATAATGGACTGACACCCAATACAAGAAATGCAACCCATATCATAATTTCTCACCCTCTGGTGGCTCTTTGGAAACCAGCTTTGTGTGTCAAAAAACAACTAAATAATACTATGACACAGTTGGTACAATGCAGTATTGCTGACGTCTTTTATATGCTGTCCTTCAAACTCAAATTTACCCAACTCTTAAAAATAATGAAATTACTCACACAACTTCATAAAATGTGTTATAAATCCTCAAGTTCCCATGTTGATAGATTTTGTCCCCAAAAAAAATTGTCTAGCATCCTTGGGATTAATGTGCAATTTATGTATTCAAGCCCTTTCCACATGCTCATGCTTATGAATAACACAATGCATATACATCACAGATGGTATCTATTTACATTTAGCCACAGTAAATGCATTAGAATCACTGAATTAGTTGCAAAAAATGCTTCCATGGTTTTTTCACAGTCCTAACACATGAATTTTTGTCAGCATTTTTGGTCAACCTAATTATCTTTTGGATGCTGTATCATCAAGTTCCTAGAACCATGTTACAGTATACTACAGTATTTCCACTGTTTCAGGTATTGATTTCCAAAATTTCCAGTAATTTATAGTCTTGCTCAGATTTTACAAAGCTCATGTTGTTATGTCATTTTTCATGTACATCCACATTATTATTCAAACTACATGGCTTATCATTCAAATTATACTGAATGCCTTCTTTTTAAACAAACATGCAGAATTGGTCATCTAAAATGTTCAAAGGTTGTCCAGAAATTTATTGTAATGTATATGTTGTATGTTCACATAAATTTTCAACAAAAACTGAGGATCAATCATTCAGTTGTGAAAATACTACTCATGTTCACCAAGAACCATTGCTGATACAGATAGTAGTATGGAAAGGGCAGAGGACAGGAGTTATGCTAATAATTTTTGTTCTTGGTATTTATGTCCAAACATAATATTGGGGCTAGAATGCTAACTTCAAAAACAGTTTTGCTGTCTGCCCTATTAATGTCTTGTATTCTATTATTTATTTCTGTTTATTATTACTTTTTATTTTATTTTTATGAGCAACCATCTGTGGGAACATTTGGTTGCAGACAGTGAATCATGGTAAAGATTTGGGACCTTTGTGGGCTAGAGTACCCACATCTGCTCCAATTTTTAATTTTTCTTAAGCATGTGAGGCTGGCAAAGATGATGTTAAACTGGATAAACAGTGAACCCCTAATGCAATTTGGGGCTTACTTCCACCAGTACCTCAAAAAATCAGGGCACATGACATCATGACTTACCTTATGATTTGTGTCTCGGTATTGGATGTTTATATTATGGCTGAAATCTGTTTTTTAATGTTTTTTTCCCATAAAATTACATTTAATTATATTTCATCTAAGGTTTGGATATGCTGCATAACATTCATGCTATGCTTCCTTTTGATCTTTTATTTTTCTTCAATATTTAGCTTTCCTAAATAATTATCATTTATATCTGTATATAATGTTTTAGGGATGTAGAAATATCAGTTTGTTTTTTGGTGTTTATTTCAGGGAGGCATTCCTGAAATTCCTGGATTGCCAAACCCTACTTTTTCTCAAACAGTGGGCAGTATCACCACTCACCCTCATCATTGTAATTGGTGTCATAAACAGTATGCCAGCAAAGCTAAGCTCCTACAACATCAAAGAAAAAAACACCTTGAAATGTTAGCCCTCTCTTATGCTACTTCAAAAAACCAAGTTAGTAATAGTTCTGTATTTTATTTATATGTAGTAAATTATGAATAGAATAGTGTTGTAACAATATTAATTTACATAAGGATATTTCAGTTGTGTGAGCTGGTTGTGTTATAATGAAAGTGTGTACTAATTTGTACCTTTTTGAAACAAAAAATGATTAACTGTTTTGTTAAAGTCGGACTGTTATGTGTTCCACTTAAACCTTAGTAACCATTCAAAAAATATCAGGATTCCTTTAACCCTACGAATATGGGCTAGGTGTGATCCACCCAGCTCCTAACCAAGAAAGTATCCATGAAAGTAATTATGTTATAAGTTTTGATAATGTTTGCATATCTTTATAAAGTTTTTTCTCTCAGAATGTTGACTATCCAACGTGCAAAGTAATTTTGATTTTATGATTAAAAATACTTTTCTTTATTTGAAAATTGTCATCAAACGTTTTTTGATTTATATTTAATCTGATATTTTATCAATGCTAACTCTGTATGGTGTTGGTTGATTGTGACTGGCATCGTATCCATCATAAAAATTAGGAAATAAATCTAAATTACCATTTTTTGTTTTAGACAAACTGCAAATTGTAACAGGAAACCACACACTAATGTTTATTCTAAATAGTTTAAATCTTGTAACAGTATAATTGTATTTATAGTCATT